TCTCTCTCTCTCTCTCTCTCTCTCTCTCTCTCTCTCTCTCTCTCTCTCTCTCTCTCTCTCTCTCTCTCTCTCTCTCTCTCTTTGTGTGTGTGTCTCGCTCTCTCTCTCTCTCTCTCCCTCTCCCCTCATCTTCGTCCGTTCATTCAAAATTCCTTAACCCCTAAAGCCTTCCGTCTCCCCTTCCCCTCCATGGCATGTGACTAACGTCTATCCTCACCGTTACATTGCTAGGGAACGAACGGAAAGGAACTTGGTCCTCACTTGGTGGAAAGCGAGGGCAAGGGAAGGGCTGCCGGTCCCTTGTGCCACCAAGAAGGAGAGGATACGCGACTATTGAGGACGTTGGTGAGAGCAAAAAGGAGTGTTGTTTTGGACAAGGTCAGTCGACTCAACCACCTCCTCGACTGCATGCCTGAGTAAGAAGCGTGTGGTTCGACTGTGAGGAAGGAAGGAAAGCACCCAAAAGCATGGAAAAAGGAAAGGGAAGACTTGGACTTGCATGAGGGGCGGTGTGTTGACCCCATCGGGGACGGACGTATGCCATTGTCATGTTTATTTGGATGTGCTGCAGGTAAGTGGCTTGGACGATCTGGCAAGGAAGGGATTGTGCGACATGGGACCGTACCGAGGGAAAGGGGGTTTGAATCTCGAACGGTCGGGATGGACTTTGGGCTTTAACGATTGCATGACTAGCGTGACTTGAAAAGACTAAGGGTCAGGGATGGGGATGGAGCCTGACTTTGTCGTGATTTGTGGTTGTGGCTGGGTTGCGAGTTTGGTATGACCGCCTGGAAAGACTAAGGGCGGTCACGAGACCTGAGAGATGTATGCGTAGGCTGACTAGAGGAAAGATAGGGGCTAGGGGGAGAGGGACGAGGCGCCCCGATGATGCTATAGGAAACTAGGGCCGTTAGTGAAGGAGTGCATGGCCTAAGGAGAACGCTTAGCCTACGCACCGTAAAGAAGAGAAAGCTCTCAATGAACCTCCCTGGACTGCCTGAGTATTGGAAGGAGCAATAGTTTGGTAAGACAAACGGAGAATCGAAAACCTTACGTCTGCGGACCTAGACCAGTGAGGCTACCACCCGGCTAGAGGGCTGAGCTACATCCCCCAATGTCAAGCTCTCTCTCCCTACTGGCCCAACCCCATCCATCTCATAGCACTAGGTGGGGGTGACCCTGGGACGAACGACCCGCGCCTTGAGAATGAGCGTGGGCGGGTTGAGCCAAGTGGGACCGGCAGTGGGGTCGACCAAGGCTCAAAAGTCCTTCAGGGTTTGGCCCCGACAGCGCACACCCACACACACACACGCACACACACACACACGCATGCACACACACACACACTCACTCACATGCAGACACACACGCATACATAGAGACACACACACAGACACACACACAGACACACACACACAGACCCACACAGAGACACACACACGCACACACACACACACACACACACACACACACACACACACATACAAACACACACACAGACACACCCACGCACACAGACACACACACACACACACACACACACACACACACACACACGCA